TGTTCAAATCTACTTTCTTCATCGACAATCTTCTAGTTATCACTTGAAAAAACGTGTAAGAACTAAAGTGAATATGAAATTTAGTAAGTAACCTACTTTTAGGCTCTTAATTGTCTGCATGGTGGATGCTAAGGTACTATACTCTATAACCTGACTAAAGGCTTTACACGGTTTCTGTTCTAAGGACCCTTGTCTTAAGTCATCGGTCTTTGGTCATAATACTTGGTTAGTTTGGTCCCTAGTGTCACAATCCACAGAGCGATTTTGTCCCTGAGAAAGTTATGGGGGATGATGACTAGTTTAAGTGAAGAAGAATGTCACAACCATATTAGGAAGAAAGTAGGTTGTGACCCTGAAGTGATGTCCATCCGATCACACAACGGCCAAGGTAGATGAATGCCTTGATGAGACCGAGGAAAGTACATCATCTAACACACCAAAGAGATGCACATTAAAGCCAAACTGAGGCATAATCAAGGAGGCAAAGATGTCGACATGAGAGACAAAGATAGACTTGATAAAAGGCCAGGTAGGGCCTCGAGCCTTAAACTCGAAAGTCAGATGTCTGAAGGAAATTTAGGCATGCAACTCCAGAGTCAAGTTCGTCCATATAAAATATGAAAGCTCGCCAAATTTAGTGTCAAACTGACAATGAACAAACGCTCCATGACACCGTATAACCATTAGCCAAAATCATGTCTAAACATGTTAGATTGGAAATACCTCAAAATGTACTCGGGGAGGCATAGTGTCAACTCTCCACCATTTCTAGGCTTTGTGGCCTAAATGAGCTACCCTGTGACACATGCATTTGTCACAGTGAGGGGGAGTTTTGCATAATGAGTGTCTCAGATGACTTCCTTTGAAATAGGTCTTTTAAGGATAGTGTCTGATGGCACGGGTGTGTCTGCATTGCGCCCCAACTCATGTGTCAGAGATTGGTATGTGCATCCACTATCTGGTACGGAGCCCGTAAATGATATGGCACGGATACAGGAGGGTCAGTTGCCTTGATAGAACCTAGATCGATGAATGTTCAAGATGTTTCGATGTATAAATGACACATAGACTCGTTCTCGATGGGTATGAACGAGGGAATTGTGATGACTGATGACAACTCAGGACTTGGGATGGTTTCAGGACATGTGAACCATGTTGATTAGAAATTGAGATGACATGATGAGATACGACATTGCATGTGAGAGATCTTGGCCCCAAGTAGAGGTAAGGTCGAGTCAGATGACTTGGCCTTGGCCTAGTGTAGAGGCAAGTCGGATTGAGCCACAAATGATTGAACAAATATGCACAAGCGGGTGTGTGGCCAAACAAGCTTGGATTCTGTACCAGTTATGTTCAATTTGTGAAAACGAAACCACAAAAATGAGTGAAAATGTATATGGGGATTGAGTTTTCCTTAAGGCTTGTCAAGAGAGTGTCAAAATCACGACACTACACGATTGAAAATATACAACCATGACAGTTGGTATTAGAACCACACTTTGTGTGTCTAGTCAAACAAGATAGTCAAAGAAATGAACTCTAGGGTCGAAAGAAGACATCACAAATGCGTCAAGAATATCAATATCGACAAGACAACTGTTTTTTTCAAGATCTTGTAGTTTGAAGCCAATACTCTCCCAAGCTCAAGAGTGTTGGATGTGACAAATCAACAAGGGGAGTTCTACCCGTCAAAAGTAAGAACCAAACTCATTTGCTAAGATTTTGGGGTTCCAATGTGGGCAACCGATGAATCAGATGGCACAGTAGGTCAATGTCTTCCAAAGAGTTATTCGCATGAGATGAATAATGTTAATGGTTGTAAGAATAGAAGCCGAAACAGTGATATAAGCATCGATCAAGTGCCAGATTGAGCACGACGGAAGTCCTTATGGGGGACGACCAAAGAGACAATTGAGTTTAATGGGGGGGGGAGGGCCCAAATGAATGGGTTGTTCACCCCGTGGGAGTGCTCCAAGAAGTGAGCACCTGTGTATTTTTTGAGTCATCGTCTCATGTCTAAGGTGGGTGGTTTCACAAGAGTTTTCAAGACTAGCATCTGCTTGAGAAGAGAGCATCACACTAAACGTGGGCATAAAAAGTGAAGTTGCAGTAAGACCAAAGAAGTGTCAAGGCAGTGATTGTCACATGAAAGTGGCCAGTTGAGAAGTTGGTTGAAGTGCAGCGCCAACGTGGCTATGTTACAAGCTTTCAAACTTTTTTACTTATGGGTTGGTACCACAATGAGCAAATGTCTTCGTTGGATTGCGAGCCTCACCCCGAGGGGTGCACCGTTGTGCGTAACTCAGAGAATATGAGTGTTGAGGCCAGGTGGTCATCTTGAGCGCACTCCCCCTAGCTTAGTTGAGGATATGTCGAAGCTAGTTAGTTTGTCATGGTTTGTCTGGTGATTGTCAGGTCGAGTCTGAGAAAAGGGCGGAAGCAGAGGAGGCCATAGATAAGATAGCCCACAACCATTGAACATTATTTTGTTGTACTTATGTTGTGAGTCTTGGAAATCGAGGGAATGTTCGTCAATAGGATAGCTCATAACTAGTGCACCATTTTCGTATTTGTTCAAAGACACCTTAAGGGGGATGCATGATGTCAACTCTCCATCACCCTGGACCCTATAGCCTAAGTGAGCTACACTGTGGCACATGCATGTGTTACAACGAGGGCAAGTATTGCGAGACAAGTGTCCCGAGTGACTTCCTTTAAAATGGGTCTTTCAAGGATAGTGTCAGACGCCATAGGTGCGCTAGCATTACACCCCATCCCATGTGTCAGAGGTTCTTATATGCACTCGTTATCCAGTACGAAGTCCTTAAATGCTATGACATGAAAACAGAAGGTCCAATGCTTTGATAGAACCCAAATTGATAGATGTTTGGGATGTCCTGATGTTATGAACGACACATGGGCCCGTTTCGATGGGCATGACCTAGTGAGCTATGATGGCCGATGGCATCCCAATACTTAGGATGACATCAAGATATGTGGGTCATGTTAGATTGAGAATCAAGATGACATGATGAGATGTGACATTGCATGTGAGAGACCTTGGCTCTGAGTAGAGACAAGATCGAGTCGAATAACTTAGTCTAGTGTAAAAGCAAGTCAAACTGAGTCGTAGATGATTGAACATACACGCACGAACCATATGTATGGCCGAACGAGATTGGATTTCCAATATTTAGAATACTTGCAATAAATTAAAACTACAAAATTCCAATATTTATAAAGAGAAAGTGAAGGAGTGGGCCCATAATTATTCCTTTCAATGGGAACAATCATTCATTATTTGAGTTAATTGAACCAATTTTTGTCTTTTTAATGCTTCAATTATATTAAAAATCCACTATTTTATATATTCACGACGTTAAAAAATGATTATTTAATGCAAGAGGATGGCATTTGTTTTTTTTTTGTTTTTTTTTTTTTTTTTTTGACAATATAGTCATAATTTTATATCAAAGAGATTAAATTTGTGTTAAAATTCTCAAACAAACATAAAATAATAATAATAATAATAATAATAATAATAAATAAAAGTATATGAACGACAAATATGTCTCGCATTTTCATTTATATATAAAAATATAAATATTCATTTTATTAATTTTTAATAGTTAATTTCCTTTTTTTTTTCTTTCATGAAATTTCTCAATGTTAAGTTAATTTATATATATATAAAGTTTATTTATATTTATAGTGAGATATTTGGTAGGGACAAGAAATATAATTCCTTTCTCGACTTAATTTAGCTAGCGGGTGTAAATTTCTCTTCACTTCCTCTATATTCTCGTAGATCTTAGACTCGTAGGTTAACTTTTTCTCCACTCCTTCCCAATTCTCGTGCAACTTAGCCTCGCGTGTTAAATTTCTCTCCACTCCCTCTCAATTCTTGTGCAGCTTAGCCATGCATGTTAAACTTCTCTCGGGTAGATTCTAGACTTGTAGGTTAAATTTATCTCCAATCCCTTCTCATGTTCGTGGAGTTTAACCTCGTAGGTTAAATTTCTCCCTCCTTATTTTCGTGGAGCTTAGATCGTAGTTTAAATTTCTCTCTACTCGCTCCACGGAATTTATCTCCACTCCCTTCCTAGTATCGTGGAGCTTAGCTCGTAGACTAAAGGGACATCTTTGTATTATTATTCCGATAAAGATGCCAGGTCATTTACCATTTAAGTTCCAGGGGTGAAAACGTTTTTTTTTTTTTTTTTTTTTTTTTGTAGCGCAAGGGTAAAAAAATGCATAGGTTAAAAGAGAATGGAAGGTCGGTCCTTTTTACTGAAGTAATAGAGTAGGTAGCCTTGTTTTTTAGTAATTGACAGCACAGAATTTGGTCGGTGTGTTGGAAAAATAAAATATTTATGTTCTACTTTTTTATTTCTTCTTTTCTTTTAATGCAAATTGGACTCTTCTTTCCATTTCTTTCCCCCTTTTCTTTTTGACAAATATACCAAATATTCCTTCCTATTTTAAATACTTTCCTATGATCCTATAAACGTAGTTAAATGATACCCAAATCAACAGTTAATACTCAAATTGCAACCCCTATAGATAGTTAAACGATACCGATCGATACTCAAATTGATAACCTTTGTAGATAGTTAAACAATACCCAAATCGATGGTTAATACTCAAATTGGCAACTAGCAACCCTTTTGGATAGTACACGATACTCAAATCAATGTTAATACTCAAATTGGCAATCCTTATGGATAGTAAACAAACGATTAATACTCAAATTGACAACTCTTATGGATAGGATAGCAAACAATACCCAAATCGACGATTAATACGTAACTTGACAACCCTTATGGATGATAAACTATATCCAAGTAGACTACTAATACTCAACGATGATTAATACTCAAATTGGCAATCTCCATTTGTCTAGTCATTCATATGATACAAGGATCCATTATGTACATAATAGATTGATTCAAAAGCAAAGTGGAGTTCCAATCATGATCTAAAGAGAAGATCAGCTCACGGACACTTAATGCCAAGAAATTCTATTGAAATGATACTGAACATAACACAAATCCATAAATAAAATCTACCGACAACAACTTCTGGGGAATGCCCAAAAAAAAATGCCCCTAAACAAGAATATAACACAGCAAACAAAGGCTTTTCTTTCATAATGCTTTCCCCTTCATTTTACCAATAGAGCAAGAAAGAAAAGTTCGTTCATCATAGCATGCAGTCTGTTCTGGCTGGCAGCCTCCGGAAGAAGTTGAGCGGAACGGACGGGAGCTTGTACCGAAACCTCGGATGTCTTAGCACATAAATCCCCGAAAGGAATGCCACGACTTGGAATGGTGTAACGTACAGAACTATAGCAGAAACCAGGCAGAAGAGCACAAACAATGCTGAAGCTCTCGGGTCACGCCAACTGAGTAGAGATTGCAGCCTCTCGCCCTGTGTAGCCAAGTCCCCAACTACGGTCTGGATCCTCCCAGCAATGCTCCTTAGCCGATCGTACCTCATCCTCACAATGTCAGGAGGGGAGGAAGTTGGGAAGGTGTCGAACTCCTCGTTCAGTTCGTCGGGGTGAGCAGAGTCCGCATGGGAGAGGCGGGTGTCCATGTGAGGCGGGTGCCTTGGCCTCCATCTATAATGCCAAACTCCAATAAGGAACAGATAGAGGAAGATTGTAGGAAGAATGAGCTCAGGGTACATCACAAGAATGATGAACAAAATGTGTATAAGAACAGTTGTAATGGGGTTTCTCCAATGGCAAATCTGATCAAACCATTTTCCAACTGCAATCAAGCCACTGAAAACTCCCATGATTCTGAAGAAATTAGCCTTGCTTCTTCTCATGCTCCACATGTGGGAGCCTACATCGAGCATATACTCGACAACCTCTTTTCTCAATGGTGGTTCAGCACGGGTCAGCCTCATCGACACAATCTGAGTCGCCTGGTGCCGAAGGCTATCGAGCTGGCTCACTGTTAACGGGTGAATATAGTGCATTTTGGGGAGGAGGGGATGTGAGTACATGTGTAACATGTTTAGCAAGGAAGAACATGTAAATCTCACAGCCAAATGAATCTCACCCATCTTCTTCACCCCATTAGGGTGCAGAACCAGCAGAGGATATGAATGAGTATAAACTCGGTCAGTTTCGAGCGTGGAAAGGCGAATTCTAACCTTCCCTATCCGTGCATCTTTTGATCCTCCAGCCTTATCCCCACCATGCAAATGGCAGTTGTCAAAAACCCCAATTGTAATGACAGTACAGGGATCAAAAACCTCCCAAGTGTACTGCTCATTCCACCTGGGTATGAAACTGTCGATGATCGTCCTTGTTCGAACCCACTTCTGCCCATACTTAGCAACACAATATGCATCGGTCGTTCCACGCCCATCTTTCGTCTTCATCGGCATTAACCCCTGAGCATTCAGAATACCCAATTCTAAAACCCCAATGTTGTTCTTCCAGAGCTGTTTAGCCGTCGGCCGAAGATCACTACTGTAATGTGTTGATTCATCCAAAACATGGTAGCCACCTTCCAAACATATCCTCATGTGAATCCTACTCGAAAACTTGATTTCCTTCTTCTTCTCCCCTTCAACAACAACGTGTTTCTCGAGGTTGAACCATCTTGTGTTCACAGGTCTATGGTCCAATCTCCTGTCTATATACTGCAGCGGAATCGCACACCGTCCTAGAACCTCGTCCTTGTTTGGTGCAACCCGATCTTCCACACTTAGAATCAAAGGCTCCTCAAATGGTTCAGCTGCAACAAACATCAAATCCTCATTCCACATTGGATTGATAGTTCTAGACTGGGAAATTCTAGTCCTCAAAGCCTGATTTCCAAGTATAGCCTTAACGAAAACCTCTGGATACCGACCCTTATCACTCGGCTGCAGATCCTGAGCTTCAATGATATTCACCCTCAAATACCAAAGCTTAGGAGAAAGATAGACCTTAGACCGCATATTTGCAAGCCCATCAGCTCCACTCACAGTTGCAGCATCTGAATTCCAAGCCTCAGAAAACGCTTCATCCGCTTGTGTTCCCATCCAAACAGCCAACATCAGCTCTCCTTTCGCCCTCTCTCCCTTCTTATCATCCAACCGATACCATTGTGGTGCCAAAGGACTATCCGGTGGTACCCTTCTCGGAACCTCATTCAAGTCAAAAAGAACTCTCCCAATGAAATCATCCTTAAGAGAATCCTTATCCTTCACAGTCACCTCAAGCACCGAAGCCTGAATCCGATCCTTCGAAAACGCAAACACTTGGCTCCATTCAGGATTCGACTTCTTCTCGAAATGCCGAGTCGTGCCCTTGTAATTTCCAAGCTTAACCTCCACATACGGGTCGCAGCTACCAGTGACATCTTTCGCAGGCAAGTCTTTCGCCTTGACAACCCGAACATAGAGGTAATACATTTGCTCAACGAGGTCATAGGTGCTTGCTAGTTTGTCACCAGTGACCTTCCCCCCACCAAGGTGGGGATTGGTCTCTTTCAGTAAGAAATCTTCTGGTGGAGGCTTTTGCATCATCTTCACAGTTGAAATGATTTCACAAACACACCTAAAAAAAAACCCCCAAAAATAAACCCCATTTTAATGAACTTCACTTAACAAAAATTCAAAATCTCGCCCTAAAAAAACTGATACATAGGAAAACAGAGCCATAGTCCAGTCGTTACCACAAAAATAGGCAACTGAAAATCACCCAAAAACAAGAATCTCTGAATGTTACCGTTTGCACAACCCAAAAACAACGTTGGAATTTAAACAAACACCTCATAGGCAGAACATTCCTGTTATCTATAAATGACTAAAAACTTAAGAAAGAAAATCCGAAAGTGTCCAAATGTTAAAAGGGGTCTGAAAGTTCACCTGAGAAAGCAAAAAACCTTCAAAAGCTTCAGATCTGAAACGTTTTCACACCCTGAAGAGAAAATGAAAATGCAAAGAAAGTCAGTTCATGAACGCCCACAGATCCAAAGAAAACAGAACAAAAACACACAAAAACAGAGCAATGTTGTTTGGCGGCTGAGAAAAACGTCACAACAAGAACAACAGAACAAATTTTCCTTCATTTTCCAGGGAACCAAACAGATCAAAAACAAGAAAAACGGAGATCAAACATGAAAACCATCTCTACAAACACCAAGAAATGAACCTTCAAAACCCCTTTCAATGGCATTCTTCAAGAGAGGACCAAAAACAAAACCCCATTGCAGAAGAACCAAATGCAGGTGGGTTTGAAGAGAGAGAAAATCGGTTTTTAGGGAGTGGGTTTTTTGGGGGTGTGAAAGAATCTGATGAGTGAAGACAAGTATATACAAAGTGAAGTGAACTGTCTATTTCTTTTTCTTTATTTATTAATTGTTAATTATTATTATTATTTATTTATTTATCTTTCATTAGATCTAATCCACCTTTTCATCTAAGCTTTTGTTTAAAATATTTAAATATAATCTCTCTCAATATTTTATATATAAATAAATAATATTTCTGTTTATATAATTAATATAGATTTTTAAGTTATTGAGTGATTAGTATTAATAATTATTTTAATAAATAATTAGTCATTTATATCCTCATTAATTAAAGTTTGATATTTGAATTTTATGAAATTACGAGATTTAGTTATTAACGTAACATAAATAAATAAGACTTTTTAAAATAATTAAAAAAAAAACATTTTGACCCAACTGGGTTGGTTGGGTTGTTTCATGAGCTTGCTCTCATGTCACCGACCTAATTAACTCGAAATTTTATTTTTTCAACCTATCTCAAAAATTACAAAATATATATATATATATATATATATATATATATATATATATATATATATATATATATATATATATATATATATATATATATAT